CCCCTCCCCCAGCTGACCCAGCCTCTGGGCCAGAACCAGGACCGGGTCTTCGGCCCCCGATGAGCAGGTCTTCCTGTGCTCCAGCAGTCCCAGGCGCAGGGCCTGGTCCAGGAGGCCCGGGGGCCACTTGGCCAGTCGGTGTCTGTGACACAGAACCGGACCAGAATCAGGGTCCACACCCGGGTCCTGCTGAAGGTTCTGGGGTCCTTCAGACACCTTGGAGAGTCTGAGGACCGGGTGCCACTGCAGGTCCTCCTCTGCAGACGGGACACGACAAGAGCTTTGCTCCAGACCACCTCCAGGACCGGGACCAGATGTGGTGCCACCAGGACCTGAACCTGGTCCTGGGTCCAGGTGCTGCCTCTCCGCTTCCTCCTGGAGGAACCCCTCCGGTCCGAACTCCAGGATCCGGTCTCCGGACCGCAGCAGGTTCTGGAACACCATGAGCTGCGCCCTGGATCCGGGTCCGGCAGAACCGTCCTGCGGGGGGGCCAGGACCCCCGGCGGCTCGGAACCCAGCGGGGCCTGCGTCAGCACCAGCCCGCCGTCCAGCTCACCTTTCCCGGCCAGCGGCGAGCTGTAGTGCGGGGATCCGGACCCGAGGCCCGAGGAGGGGCCGCCGGGGTCCACATCGAACCCGCCGCCGCGGTGTCCCAGCGCGGCTTTCACGGGCCCGAACCCGGACCGGACCAGGTCTTCGGGCTCGTCCAGCCGGTCGTACTCGGCGGCGGAGACGAGCCGCATCAGGACGAAGTCCGGGGACGGTTCTTGCTGCGCGTCGCTCATGGCGGCGGGTTGGCGGTTCCGTTCGCGGCTCCGGTGTTACATAACAGCTGCCGCATGTCAGAACCGGAGCTCCGGGACGCACGGGCGGCGGGTCCGGACCGGTTCGGCACGGTAACGGCTCCGCTGGACGAGAACAAAACAGGAAGAGACATGAGAGGAAGCCGCCCGGTTAGCTGCTAGCCTTCGACAAGCTCCGGTGAGACGTGACGGAGAGGAGGGGCGGGGCCTAATAACCGAGCAGAGCCGATTAATCGATCAGCTGTGGAGCGTCTTCATCATCATCATCATCATCATCATCATGTTTTTAAAAGCAGCTTTAATTCAGACTCTGTTAGTTTTTACAGCTCAACATTATTTTAATTTAAAATAGTTTATTTTATTTATCTGTTTAAGTAAAATTTATTTTTATTTTGTTTGATCTTTTAATGTTTTATGTTGTATTAAATATTTTTTTATCACGGTTAAAACGCTATATTTTAAAAACTTTATTTTCTGTTTATTAGTTCAGTTTTAAATATAATTTGAGTTGTTTTTAAGGAATTAATTTCCACATGTTTTAGTGTTTTCCTCTTCCAGGTGAGGCTGATCATTTACCTGTTAAACCACACGACTCACCTGGAACATCACCTGACCAATCAGAACCTGTATTTCCTCAGGTTTTACTCTGAACATTAAGAGAAAACTGTTCCAGGTTAAAGCATCACGTGACTCAAGGTGAGCAGGTTGTAGCAGGGTGGGTCCAGCAGGGGGCGCCATCTTTATTAAACCTCCATGTTAATGTGATCAGATCAAAGTTATTAAAACTATTAACTGAACAGGTTTCAGAGCTGCAGAGACATGAGGTTTAAAAACAGGTTCTGGTTAAACTTGTTGTCTCAACTCAAATATTTAAAAAGTTTTAAAATATTAAAACTTTGACTTTATTCAGTTCCTTGTTTTCAGTCAGATTTACTTTTTACAAAATTTATTTGTAATTAATATTTGTAACAAAGTCAACTTGTTTATTTCCTGACAAATATATTTTCCTTCAATCTTTAAGTGTAAAAAACAAAGTCCAGCCCAGGCAGGTTCTGGCCCGGCAGCAGGCGGTCCGAGGTCCGGTTCAGCAGAAGAAGCAGCCGAAGCTTCAGTACAATATAGACTTTATTAGTTCACTAAAGTTTCATATGAAATAAAAGCAGATTGGCTTCAAATRATTCACAATTCAGAAATAAAACTGACTTCAGAGTCAAAACAGGAAGTGGACCCTTCCTACAAAATAAGAGCCCCCACTCAAAGCGTCAGCTTCAGCTTTTCTACTCCGGCTGAAGACGAGCCGAAGCATCAGGGAGCGCCAACGAGCCGCAAAACAAAAACAAAAACAAGAGATGGTCGAATAAACAAACCGACAGTTCAGCTTCCAATCAGAGTCCAGAACTATTCAAGTCCAAAAGTATCACCAGAACTGCTCGGGGAATGTTTCATATCACTTTATTATTTTTCAGCTTTAGTTTTTTTTATTTTTTTCATCATAGCAATGGAAAAATATAACCTTTTACAAACGTCTTCAATTCTCTGAAATCTTTGAAACAATCAAAAATGGTGAGTGACCCATTTCCCAAACCAAGTGCAGCGGGAACCGAGGCGAAGCGGCTCGCAGCGCTCGCTTCCATGGCTTCAGCTGAACCTTTTCCATTTGGCACTCGCTCCTCGGCACCCAGCTTTTACTCTGAAGGGTCGGCGCAGCTGGATGTGAGCCAGAGACGGAGCGGGTGGAGGCGGGGCCGGCGTCCGTCCGGCGCGTCTCCTTCATCCGGTTTAGTGCTCAGAAGAAGAAAAGTAAGAGCAACAAAAATCTACAGAAGTCCAAAGAGTTGCTTGTTAATCTGATTCCACAAAAGTCTTTAAGGGTCGTCCCCTCCTCCCCCCTCCCCGGTGGGCGGAGACTGGGCGGTGACGTCATCGTGATGTAAGAGGAGGGGCCAGCTTTGTGGCGACAGGCTGCAGCAGGAGGAGGGGGGGTCGTGTCCTAAAGGGGGAGTCAGAGTCCAGTCCACAGGCCGTCCAGGAGGAAGAGGAGGAGGAAGAGGGGAGGGGACGCCGCCAGCTGGAACTGAAGGTGGTGTGATGTCATCATCATCATCATCATCATCATCATCATCTCTCGCGCTCTCACACACAGACACTCATCTCACGTCATCTCATCTCACGTCACGTCTTCTGCTTCAGCAAACGCCGAGACAAACACAGAAGAGTTCATTCCAGGAGTTCTCTGCGCCGCCGCAGCTGCATCTGTAAACAAGTAAACAAACAAACAAGTAAACAAACAAACAAGTAAACAAACAGTTCGTTCCACAGGGCATCTGCAGGTTTTAACAAGTCAAATTTAAGACTTTAAGACCTTTTTAAAACAAMCTTGAAAGAAATTTTAGACTGAAAATATAAGTGATGTTTCTGTGATTCTGCTGTTTCACAACAAGCTCACGTGTTTCACTAAATAAACACGTATAAATTTAAATATTCAGCTCTGCTTCAATTAGCTGCATTTTACAAGTGCAGTGATTTAGTTGAAACTGTGTTTTAATCTCCAGTTTAGTCTTTATACAAAAAGCAGTCATCCAGACAACTATCAATAAACATGAACTTTAACCTGCATCCAAACGTCTGAAGAGCTTTAACAACTTTACTGTGGTTGAGTTTTAGGTAACATCACTGTTTTCAATTCAGCAACTCTGATATATTTTCAAAGATTATAGCACAAAGTTCCTTTATAAAGAATACATTTATAATCTTTATTAAGTTATTTTTAATTTTTTTATTATTATTAATTAATCAATTAATTAATTTACTGGTATTTTGAGTTTGACAGATTTCTCCCCTAAAATCAACATTTCATTCAAAGGGAAGATTTACATGATTAATTGGACAAAATTGGAGGATGTGTAGGTTGATGATTTTCTTGTTGAAACTGACAAAGAAATATTGAGTTTGGTAAAAAAACAACCTGCAGACAAAAGATCAAAAGACTGGGTGGACATGATGCTTGTAAAAGATATAATGAATTATGTGATTTTACCATTACATCTGTAATTTATCATTTTCAACTGGTACATTTCCTGACAACATGARAACAGCCAAGGTAATTCCTCTTAAAAAAACCAATAATAACTGTGAGAAACATGTTAAAAAATTACAAACCAATATGAAGATCGTAAGTAGTAGTCAGTGTGGGTTTAGAGCTAAAAGTTCCACGTCAATGCTTTTATGGAATTCATGAACAAATCACTGTTATCGATCAAAAACTGTTTTGTTTTTACATAGATTACATAGATTTACATAGTTTTTACATAGATTTAAAGAAAGCATTCGACACCACTGATCACAGTATTCTTGAAAAATTAAGTAAATAAAGGGTCGGCGCTACAATGGGGGTCTAGTTATTTGAAAGATAGGAAACAGTTTGTACAGATAAATGGTGTAAGAAGATCTAAACTTGGTAATATGAAGTGGAGTCCCTCAGGGCTCTGTACTGGGACCGGAGTTATTTATTTTATATGTGAATGCCTTAGAACAAAAATATCTAAATCTGTAGGAGTACTGTATAAAGTCAGCGAGTTATTTAATGACAAAGCTCTGCTTGTGTTGTATAATTCAATAATTGTTCCACATTTAATTCACTGTATCGAAATCTGGGTTAAAGCTTGCAAAACAATTACAAATCCAATTTTTGTTTAAGAGAAAAGAGCCGTTAAGAATTATCACTAGAAAACATTACAACCATCCATTACATACTTTATTTTGCAAACTGAAAATTTAAAAATTCTATGATTTGGTTGGTTATAATATTTTAGTGTTTATGTACAAGACTCACAGAAACATTACCTTCCAACACTCAGGTAAACTTTAAGAGAGACAGTTGTTATTATCTGAAGGGGATGGAAATGTTTGTGAATCCCAGGGTTCCCACACCTTGGTCAACATCAAATTCAAGCACCTTTCAAGGACTTTCCAGTACCAATTTTGCATGACGGCAGTTACATACTGCATTATTACAGAGCCGTGCTCTGCTCTGATTGGCTCAAACTGTGACTCTGGTTCTTTTTATTGGTTGAAAGCAGCGTCAGTTAATCCATCACAACACAAGTTTGTTTTTCTCTTTCTCAACAGGAAATGTGCTGCAGAGCCGGCCGGGGGAGACGGAGAACTTTAATCACTTCTGCCCGACAAAATTTAAGACTTTGAGTAACAAATTTAAGACTTTTTAAGACCTTAATTTTAGATATGTGAATTTAAGACGTTTAAGGACCTGTGGACACCCTGATCCCAGGAGGAGTTCAGCTTGTTGACCTGAGCCTGTATTTATCAACCTTCTGAAGAGTGGAAGTTTTGATTGAAGTGCTGAAAATGTCTCCTCTCAGACTGAAGAGTAAAAAGTTGTAATCTCTCAGTCTCTCTGATATTTCAACAGAATGCTCTGTACCAGCTCAGAAACTGCACTGAGTGGTCCGGGGGTCCTCCACCTGAGTGTGATTTATACCAAACTACTTTTATTCATAAAGCCCTTCAGACRGTACAAGGCCGAGCACAGAGCTGTACGATACACAACAGTTTATCTGACACCATTACAAACATGAATCTGTTATAATTACAGTTTGTTTACAGCAGCTGTGGTCAACTGCAGAGGTTCAGTGTTACATCACAAGGTTAGTGTTGGTCAACGCTGCAGTTTGTTTGTTTATGTTTGTTCTCACCAGGCTTGGCTCTTCAGTTTGTTTGTTTGTTTATGTTTGTTTGTTTGTTCTCACCAGGCTTGGCTCTTGAGTTTGTTTGTGTTTGTTTGTTTGTTCTCACCAGGCTTGGCTCTTGAGTTTGTTTGTGTTTGTTTGTTTGTTCTCACCAGGCTTGGCTCTTGAGTTTGTTTGTTTGTGTTTGTTTGTTTGTTCTCACCAGGCTTGGCTCTTGAGTTTGTTTGTGTTTGTTTGTTTGTTCTCATCAGGCTTGGCTCTTGAGTTTGTTTGTTTGTTTGTTTGTTTGTTTGTTTGTTCTCATCAGGCTTGGCTCTTGATTTTGTTTGTTTGTTTATGTTTGTTTGTTCTCACCAGGCTTGGCTCTTGAGTTTGTTTGTTTGTTTATGTTTGTTTGTTCTCACCAGGCTTGGCTCTTGAGTTTGTTTGTTTGTTTGTTCTCACCAGGCTTGGCTCTTGAGTTTGTTTGTTTGTTTATGTTTGTTTGTTCTCACCAGGCTTGGCTCTTGAGTTTGTTTGTTTGTTTATGTTTGTTTGTTTGTTCTCATCAGGCTTGGCTCT